GCTGCTATATTTGGCATAAATGTGGATTTAGCACTCACTTGGGGCTTGTGGAGAGAAGCAGGTGCCATGAGGGCTTGGGGCTCTGATTTGGAACCCTTGATGGCACCTGAAAAAGTTATTTGAACAAAAAGGCCCATATCATGGGCCTATTTGATGACCGATTAGCTCAACCACCTTGCTCATAGCCTAGATGAGATCTAATAAGGGTTTAGCTCATTATTTAATATTTACTTTGCAACCAGCAGTATCTTCATACTTTCTCATTTATAGTCATGTCTTCATTCATTTTAGCAGTTCCCTTGTGACTGTCCAAATCGAGATTCTTTGTCCTTAAAAAAAAGAATGAAGAAAAAAACCCCCCACAACTCATTAAGTTCTTTGACCCACATTAGTTGATGAAACTGTAGTCAACTCTTAAGAAAATATGACAGTAATGTCATTGCATCCTATATTCTTTATTGGAAAGCTTCTGAGGGATAATTTTTTCCTTATTCTGATTTAAAAAAAAAAGGTAAGCCTATGAGAAAAACCCCAAGATTATTTTCTCTATTTGTGTTACATCTGTTAGCTAACTGTTACAGACTGAATGCTTGTGTCCCTCCCAAATTCACATGTCACATTCCTAACCCCCAGGGTGATGGTAGTAGGAGGTGTGGCCTTTGGGAGGTGACTGGATCAAGAGGGTGGATTTAGTGCCCTTATAAGAGAGGTCCCAGAGAGCTCCCTCATCCCCATCTGCCATTTAAGGACTCAGGAAAAGGAATCAGTGTTATCTATGCACGAGGAAATGGATCCTCGTCAGACACTGAATCTGCCAGCGTCTTGATCTTGGACTTCCTAGTCTCTAGAACAGCAAGAAGTAATCTGTTGCTTAAGCCGCCCAGTCTATGGTATTTTTTAAACCAACCCTAATGGGCTAAGGAATCAATAAGGCATTACTTTTATTTCTGTTTTTGCATTTGGAGTTTGGCCATCTACTATGATGCTGTTGTCATCGTGAGGCTTTTAAAACCTCTACCTCATCTTCGAGGACATCAGACCTTTATCCTGGTGTTCCTATGCAGAGACCATTGCTCTGCTGCCTTCCTGCTTAATCTCCCAGCCTCTGTATTTTATTCTCTAAAGTGGGAATGATACCTATTTTAGAGAGTTTTTCTGACAACTACATGGGATGCACTGTGCACACCAATGACACTTCCGTAATCCTCCTCTTCTTCTACCTACTCCATGGTCATCCCCCACAGTGGGCTGGCTTCTTTTTGAGGATTTTTCTCTTTTTATGATTGTGGGTGCATATCTTTGGTTCATTTACTCTACTGCACATGTTTACACATATTTCCTTACTTTTCCAGTTTCAGATTTATGAAGCCTCCAAAAAAATGTTTTATCTTCCATGTTCACCTTCTGTTTTATGATCTTCGTGTCTATTTACTTCTCTTTCTTGGTTTTATCTCCTTTCTTTGTAAGGAGAAGCATTAAATAGAAAATATTAGTATTGGCTGTTTGTGGAAGAACTTTGTTGTTCACTAAAAGAGATTTTGGTTTCATAAATACTATGGGACATTCCAAATAGAGCCTGAAATCCTTAGAGCTTTAGTGAGCTTTCAGATCTCCAGTCAATAAATCTTCCCAATGTGAAATGAAAGTTGAGTCACACTTGTGTGTTTTGTTGTTGCTTTAGGATAATGAAAGCTATTGTGTTGTTTGGGTTTTTTTTTTATTTTTTTTGGAGAGAGAGTGGGAAAGCACACATGAGCAGGGAGTGGGGAGGGCAGAGGGAGAGGAGAGAGAGAGAATCTCAAATAGGCTTCAAACTCAGCATGGAGCCCAGTGTGGGACCCTATTTCATGACCATGACAAGACCATGACCTTAGCTGAAACCGAGAGTCAGACGCTTAACTGACTGAGCCACCCAGGGGCCCCTAAAGCTATTGTTTTATGGCTTTTATGCTACTGCAATAAAAACTCTCAACCTCAGGACTCTGGTGTGGGAAGACCATCATGGAACCATCATCCATCTCTGTCAGTGCTGGTGGAATCTGACCACTGTCTTAAGGAAGAGGGCACAATGTGTTTTTCTCTGATAAGAAGTCTTTGTTTGTTGCAAAATTAGCTTAACATCTTGCTTTTGCAAAACTTTTTGAGTTCCATATTTTCACGGAAGAAATGGCATACTCACATGGAATAGCTGTCTTTCATCCAAATTCTTAATAGACCCAATTTCTGAAGGCATTGTTCTAAACTTCCTGTTGCTTATTTTGCCTATGCTTCATAAAAAAGAAATCATGTAGCAAAACAATAAAAAAAAAGCAATGTCTGCCTCCTTTTAAATTGGCATTTGCTTTTAGTAAGTTGATTCCTCTGGGCTCTTAGTTATGTTTTTCATAGCTCTAATAGGAGCTTCCTAAAAACTCTTTTATTATATCAGGTATAAGGTAGATAACAAAGTTTGATAGCCCTGAAGGAACATGCATTAAGTAATGCAGCTGGAGAGAGAAATGGAAATAAAGGCATGAGAAGATACTGTAAGAATGAGAGAGATTATATTTACCCCATGGTTCCTCCTTCTAAACTCTTCCCTGCTCTCTCCAACCTACAGAGATTTAGGACAAATACAAATCACTTTCTTTTCCTGCTGTATTTGACAGTATCTGTAGGTTCTCTTTGAAGGTCAGGTTTGAGCAGTTGAACAGGTGTGGATCTACTTGGTTTCTAACAGCCAAAATTAGAGAACACTACTCAACAACATTCTCGAATTGTCAGTACTAGGATGATGATGTACAAACTATGTACACACAGACACATCACGGCATATGAGATAGCATGTTTAAAAATATTTTTCATCATTGTCTTTTCCTGATAGTTTTCCCCCCAAATATTTTAAGATGACCATGCTTAGCTCTGTGCATCAAAATGTGAAAGTCACAGTTTGATGGTGTAACAAAGGATTAAAAGTTTACTTTTTTTAAATTTTAGTTAGGTTTGTGGGGTTTTTAAATTAACCTTTAGAATTTATAAATAGATTAAAATAATAATTAATGAAGCAATGACTTGTTTATGTGGCTAAAAACCAGTTCAGGCCTGCCATTCTGGGTGTGTAATTGGAGTCCTTGACTTACATATTTAACTGGAAATGCCCTGAGTATTCAGAGCCATTTCTTCAGCTGGGGAAAGGACAGATGTCTGGGCCATTATTGCTCGAGGAGGGCAATCGTTTTTGTCACCCCTCTCCTTTGATGCCTGGCATGTCTTGAACATAGTGGACGGTGATAGTTGTTAAGATTTATGGAGGCTTACTAAGTGACAGGCGATGCCGTAAGCCCTGTGCCCACATTAACTCACTCAGTCAATATTTGCTGAGAATTGAGGGAGGGAAGAAATGAATGGTCCATGCTTCCAACACATAGCAATGGCTCTGGTTCCTCAGCTAATTAAGTGGGCTTAGATATTTTTAGCGATTTCATTATTTTTTCTTCATGAGTGAATTTTGACAATATTCTTGACATCTCTTGACATTAAATATTTAAATTGAGTTGATAATGTTAAACAGTGCTATTTTCTGAAGTATTTGGTGTTTAGCGCTTTAATAACTTTAGAATGTACCACAGTCCAAGTTAAGAACTCGGTGGTTTCTTTTTGATGCCGCACCTAAGACATTAAATAAACACGATTTCTAACAACATTGCAATATGAATTAATTCAAGAACTTTAAAAAAATTCCCATTCAACCTAATATCATTATTATCTGGAGAACACATTTATGATTTGTAATTTTCTGATGATTAAACTTCTTTAAATTTGATGTTCTCATATATCATTAGAATGAACATACCACTTATAAAATAGTAATTATTCATAGCACCCAAGAATTATATCTGTTTTATTCTTTTATTATGAAAACTGTCCTAAATAAATCAACTTAGATTAATTACAGACTCAACCTGATTGAACAACATTGGTAAACTATTGTGGATTTTTATAGTAATTATATCATACAAGTTTTACTAATGTATCATATGATTATTCAAAACCCAGTGGAGGGTGTGCTACTAAAATCCTCTCACTTATAGCCAGCTCCTTGCTTCTGGTTATAAGTACTTATATATACTTTGAGAGAAACACAGAGTCAAACATACATCTACTGATTTTTGGGGGTTTTTATCTAGTCTCTGTGTTGGTTTCTCTAGAATTCAGTGTTCTTCAAAACAGGAACTATGTTCTTTTGATTGTCATAATTAGTGGTGAGAACAGCACAAAATGAGTGAATGCTATTTTGAGACTATTTTCTTTTTTTTTTTTTGATGTAGAAAGATGTTTATGAAATTCTTTACATGGTTTGGTTTGTTAGGCTTTTGTAACATATTCAGATGACTTATTTAGTTTTGACTTACAGCCAAGATAAAATGGAGAATTTATATATTTTAAATAAAGTTTTCTTTTGGGGTATAGACTCATTATTAACTGCTAAACAAACATACGTTGCTAACCATATGCTATATTTACCATTTTTGTAAAGGTAACGTTTAGCTATATGTGTTGAAATATTGAGAGCATCTGTTTTATGAGTATTCTGTGAAAACATTTATACTCTGTCATTGGTTTGATGATCCACTTCAATTTTTAAAAAAATTCTTATTTTTATTTTGGAAAATGTCCAAGGGGATTACATAGCTGAGTAAAAATGTGATTTTGTTAAAAGGTGATGGGAAATTTTTGTTTTGTACTTGTGTTGTTTGAACAGAGCCTCTGCAGTAGAGTAATGCAAGTATTTCTAATATATTTTAACTGCATGTTAAACTGATTCCCTATATATGTCCTTAATTGCTGAAATTTATACTAATCTAGATCACTTATAACACCACTACCCAGATTTTACATGGCACTGAACATGGCATTTTGTTTCAGAAGAGTGTAACAGAGCGTGAAGTCCCTTGGGGGCTCGGGAGGGGTATTTTGAGGCTTGCTTTGAGGACTCTTTGTGTGTGTATGTTCATGTACAGCGCCAGTTCTTCCCGGAGCCTACCAGCAAAGCCATTCCCAAGGCTATGGGTACATGCACCAGACCAGCCTCTCATCCATGAGGTCAATGCAGCACTCACCAAATCTAGTAAGTATCAGTTTGAAATGTTTCCTCTTCCCTGCTCTTCCCATTTTATCTCCAAAATAGAAATAAAAGTGGAATAGACTTGCATTGAATAGTGTCCATTTTCGCAGAAAGGATAAATGACAACATTTTATTCTTTGTACCCTTTCGAAGAAAGCAGAAGACTTATAGAGGTAAACCACTGAGAAAGGAAGGCATGCTGTGAAAACATGTAAAGAGTAAAACATACAAAACGACTGTCTCAGAACAGTATCCTAGTTGTTACTTCATGATCGGTCTTAGCCAACTGTGATCTTCATTCAGGTCTAAAAAGTACAAATATCTGGTCACATTAACCAGTTAATTTTGACAGTAATCAAAATGGCCATTAACCTCCAAATGACATGGCCAACATAAGTCTTTGAATCCTCCTATTAGAAATCTTGAAGTGCTTACAGATTCATTAATTAAGTGTGAAGTTTGGAAGCAGTGCTCGAGGTTGGATGGGCATCTCAAGCAAAATTATTTCTCCAAGCTTCTGTCTGACACAGAAGCCTTAGCCTGAGCCCTGAGAAAGAGGTGGTCCTTCTAAGCAGTTGGAAGTTCTTTTTAACTGCTCTAAAGTTCTTTTTGCATCTGCCAGTTTCCTTAACCTGTGAATTCTCTTAATTTTGAGACTGATGTTAATATTAACTGAATTCTTGGTCTTTAATGAAAACAAATATGGTAAAACTCAACTTATATTCTGGATATGAACCCCTTGTTGGACACATGATGTGCAAATATCTTCTCCCAATTGGTAGGTTCATTTTGTTGATGGTTGTCTTTGCTGCACAGAAGCTTTTCAGTTCGATGTGGTTGCACGTGTATATTTTTGCTTTTGGTGTCAAATCCAAATAATCATTTCCAAGACCAATGTTGGGGAGCTTACCGCCTATGTGTTTTTCTAGGAGTTTTATCTTTTTAGGTCTAACATTCAAGTCCTTAATGTATTTTGGGTTAATTTTTGTGTATGGGGTAAGAAAGTGGTCCAGTTTCACTTTTTTGCATGCAGCTGTCCAGTTTTCCCAGCACCATTTATTGAAGAGACTGTCCTTTCCCCACTGTGTGTTCTTGGCTCCTTCATCCTAAATTAATTGACCATGTATACATGGGTTTATTGCTGGGGTCTCTATTCTGTTTCATTGATCTATGTTTTTATGTCGCTACCAGAGTGTTTTAATTACCACAGCTTTGTAACATAGTTTGAAGTTAGGAAGTGAATAATTTCCTCATTATAACAAGGATTCAGTTATGTGTCCCTCAATATTCAAACATTTACATACTAAATGTCTATCACTGATTCAGAAACCTACAAAATAAGTATATTATATATTTTTCTTTTTTAAATATATTTTTAAGAGGAAACAAAAATTCTTTGATCCTAAGAAAAATTCATTTCCTCTGTCAGGGGGGCCAAGGCAGTGACTTGGCGGTGACTTGGCTCCATCTGTCCCTAGGGCAGTTTTTGTTCTCTGAAGAATGTGGAATAGGGGAAAATCTACATAATCTAAGGTCTCTGGGGTTATCTGGAGCTGGGGGAAGTTGGTTTTACTGCTTCAAAGCTTACTTTTTCATAGGCCAGTTACCATATCTAGAGGCTTCCTCGAGCCCCATTCTGGGCCCCCCAAACATTACCCTTTCTGCTAGCGTGGTAAACTTGAGATGGACGCAACCAGGATAGATGCTAGGCTCTCTTGGCCAGTCTCCAGAAATAAATACACTTGGGAACATTCCTTCTGGTTCCTTTATTATATGTGAGTTGGTTTGTCGTGATTGGCACTTGTGGCTGTATTATTTTGTATCCATGTGTGACCCCCCCCTTTCCTTTCTCAGAGGACCTACCGAGCCATGTATGATTACAGTGCCCAGGACGAAGACGAGGTCTCCTTCAGGGACGGTGACTACATCGTCAACGTGCAGCCCATTGATGACGGCTGGATGTACGGCACGGTGCAGAGAACTGGGAAAACAGGGATGCTCCCAGCCAATTACATTGAGTTTGTTAATTAGTTATTTCTCCTTGTCTTTGAGCTTTACTCTAATGTATACTAAACCCAATCTTTTTAAAAGATAGAAGATACTTTTAAGACAACCTGGCAGTTATTTTACAATAATCTGTCTTTACTTTGACAATGAGACACACAGGTACCAGGAAGAAGGAATGACTTCCGGGCTCAGGACAGCTACATTTTCAGTGGTTCCTGTGCACAAAATCTGTAGGTCTGGAGGCCCGGTGCTGCTAATTGGGTTAATGGTTTCTTTTGATTGGCTATCAAACACTTCTGGGAAATGTATTTTTGTAGACTTTAATAGAGATGTTGATCGTCCCTTAAATGTAACAAGTCTATGAAACTTCTTAGCTGTCACTTTGGAATCACCAGAAGCCAATTCTCTTAATTCCTTAACACAGCCAATAATTTAAAGACCATTTAGCTTTTGAGTCATTAGGGAATTTCCAATTCAAGTGATAATTGCCTAATGTAATAAATGTCAGAAATGGCAGAATGACAGTTTGGTTAAAATTACATTGACTGGTGGCCTTCGGGACCTAGAAACTTCTCCCGAACAAAGACATTTCCTTGTTCCCTAGGCTGACTTGGGTCTCTTTATTTCTCATTGGTACCAAGGTGTATCCTACTGTCCATTTACATTCTGTGGGCCCAAGTCTATGCTTGATTCCATAGAATGTCAGGACCAAATAACGTCACAGCTACTCTGCAAAGGGCAAAGTTTAAGGTCATCTCTATTATTTCCCTAAGCGCTTTTACCCTGTTGCATGTCACGTAGGTTCAAGCTTCTGCACCATAGGAAGCCGCACTGCCTATTATTAAAGCAAAACGTGCGGCTGATAACCTAACGCCCCCCCCTCTAGTCGCCAGCTCATCAGAAAAACATATTTGGAAAAGTTGCTTGAGATTCTCCTGCTGCCTTGCACTCTAGTTGTGAAGGATTTACACCTTTAGGAAATAGATGTCTACTCTAGCAAATAAGTGATTTAGGTGTTTACCGAGCAGCTTTCATTAACTTAATGCCGCTGTCGATTTAAAGGTAAAGAAAACTTAATAGGAGCCAGTGACTACAAAGTGTGCGAGAGACATCCAGTGAACAAAATGTCACCCCTCCGCATAGAGATAATCGTTGTTTTGTTTTGTTTTGTTTTGTTTTAAATTTCGGAAAATGCTATTCACATCCGGTACTGGAAATCTAGCCACTGAAACCAGTTAATGAAAAGACTTCTTTTCTACTTTCTTCTGGTTTTTACTTTCTAAACCATATTGTGGAGGGGAGGGGTGGGAGGATGAAAATGCCAGCAGAGATTTTAGGTCTAGGCCCAACAGGTTGTTCCCCAAAAGAAATTGTTGTCCTATCTTGAATTTCAAATGCGAGAACCCTGCAGGCACTTCCTGGATTCACCACTATGCTGCAGCCCTTGCTGGCGGGTCGAGACGATTGGCCGGTAGTTCATAGTCAAGGTCACTGGAGAAATTAACATCCATCAGCGACTCTGTGTTTTCCTGATGTATTTGGACCTCAGCAGGGTAGCATTTGTGTAGGGCCTGACTCTGGAATTGTGAGGAAGCTGCAAAAGCAAAGTTACAAAAATGTGATAAAATGTATAGATCTTGGGGTTATCTCCCTTATGTAATAGAGGCAAAGAAATTAACGAAATATCCTGTAAAATACCTTTTACGGAAGTGTTTAGGAGTCCAGAAACAAATGCGAGTCCAGAAACAAATGCTAACCCATTTACACTTTTGAAAAGTTAGCACCTACTTTTTGAAAATCTAGAGTGTCATTTTATGTGGCTCAAAGAACAAATAAGCTTTATTACGCTCAGGCTGCATCTACAGGACACTCACATAAAAAGAGATGAGAGAAATTCAGGTAAAAAACTAGAGAGTTTTTTGTTTTTTGTTTTTTTTTAGATTCCTACATACCCAGCTGGACTGATTTTCTAGTACTGAAATGGCCAGTTATGATTAAATTAACCCCCTATCCATTTTGATGTCTTGTACACAAACCAACAAAGACAAGCTGAACTTGTGACATTCTTGCAAAAAAAAAAAAATTCTGTGCATTAAAACTGGGGCAATAAGCTTGCTCAATTTTATTATATCATTAAGTAAATATTTTTCACGCAGACCACTTTTTTTGTGATTATGAATAAGAGTAGTTGTTGATTAAATTTGCAGACTAAATGTAGGACAGGTACAATTTTTGAGAAATAGCATGTTTATAGGAAGCTCAAAGGGAACGGATTTGAAATGATACTTTTTATTGGGGAAAAGTCCCATAAAGTAGCAGCTGGTTGTTCCATTGTCTTTCTCATCCACTAATTTCAAAATCAGTTTCATGGAATGTAGAAGTCAATAATTACTAGGGGAATAATTCTAAAATTTTAAGCTTAGCATAATGTTTGCATAGTGAGATGTTTCTGCTTCCAGCCTCTAGGAATTAAGGTCTGCTCAGAATTTAACCAGAGAGCAGTTATTTTATAATAAAGACTGCGGGAGAACATGATGTCACGTGCTCCTGACGCCATAACTGGGTAGTGTTGCCACTCTTCCTAAAGCTTGTCAGGATATTGAGCATCTCAGCAGAAATATTGGAAACATAGATGTATAATACCAAAGTGCTATTTTTACAGCATCATTTTTCAAAACTATGTTCTTGAACACTTTTTCCACTTTGCACATGCCCCTCCTCCCCTCAATTTGGCAACATGCATCTCATACATAAGTAACACTAACGGCTAAAGAAGGGTGTAAATAAAAAAATCTGTTTTTTAGAAATCAAGCTAAAGACTGAAATGTCCAAGCACAGAGAACATGCACCTGATTCTCTGAACCTGATGCGTTCTCAGGCTGGATAAAAGCACATGGAGCAGGTTGATACGTTTTTACAAGTTTCCGAAAATAAAACCGTATGTGCATCATCTCTTGAGAGAGAAACAGAGCAGCAGAATAGGTGACTTTTGTTGTAAGTTTTTGTAGTCAATGTTTTTACTAATTCTCGTGCTCTAAGGAAAGCTTTCTATTTCTAACGTGGCAAAATGAGTTCTTCACGTCTTCTTATTCTTGTTTAGACACCTGCAGTGTAGCCAGTGTGAAATATCTATCTGGTTGTCAGATCCCCACGCCATCCCTGCCTCTCCCCAGGCTTCCCGACCTCCAGATACCACACGGGAATTTGCAAGCACAATTTCTATGGGCACCTTGTATGAACATGGTTGAGATTAGACCAGCCCTTCTTCGTCACTAAAGTTCATTGCTTGAAGATGATGAAGATGCAGTTTGGGCAGGTTGAGCACAGTCTTTCCTCCCTGTCCCCTCCTGGTTGAGCTTGACAACAGTCTGGGAGGTGGGGAAACAGACTTTACTAGAACAGTGAAGTTCAAGAGGTGCATCTCTTTTTCAGGTGTGTTCACCTCCGGTGAAATGTTTTTAATGAAAAGATAAAGAAAATGGGTGTGATCCTTAAATAGCGCATCCCTATATAAAGTGGATATAGTTTATACCAAAATTATAATATAAATATATTTAAAAAAAGGTGCCTTTTTGATTACCCTTGTTTATCCATGATGGTCTTGGAAAGAAAACCAAGCAAACAAGCTTCTTATCTATTCTATAGTAATATTTTATTACACATGATTGGTATTTTTGTGGTGGGGAAGTGAGATACTCCTGACAGATATGAAAGGTGATAGCTGATTGTATTTTTACCTCTAAAGATGTAGAACTTTGGAAAATACTGACCTTTCCCATCTATTTCTGAAAAGTTCTTTGTGGATTTATATATAGTCAGGATGCATAAACATTAACTTTAGGTTTGAGACTTAAAATACCTATGGTAAGATAGAAGAATTATGTTATGAGGCTGAATTCATTGCACAAGATGAAATTCACTTCATAAATTTCATTATACCTTAGCTATATTTGCTTCTGATAATCTAAAAGCGGCTAGAGGGTGGGTGTTTTGGGTAACAAGACACAGAGGAGAGAAAACTTCAGTTAAGTAAGAAGCTATGTAAAGTAAGTTAAGAATGCTAAAAGGAAAGTCTCTTTCTGAAGTATTCCATGCCCAGTAGGGTCCTTTCCAGACTGTCAATTACTGTATGATGTTTCTGTGGCCATCATTTCATGATGCTTAGACTACTGGAATCCACCAGCCTGGAAGGATCCCCAAGGCAGATTTCTCTCCGGTTGTCCAGATTACTTCCGTATATTCATGGAATTCCATATGCTTTTTGCGTTTGATACATGGTATCCCGTTGGCATAGTATCTACTTCTTGGTAATCCAGTTGCTGTTAAGAATGATTGACTTTGAAGGACAAGAGAAAACTGTACCCTAGTCCCATTCTTCAGTGTCCATACAATGAGTGGCTGAGCATTTAGAAGTGGCACCAAGTGTGTTGTGGGTTTGGTGTGGAAACGTTGGCCTTTGACCTGTGCTAAGAATACAAAATTGAATCATTGCACAGCTTGGCTTCTGTCTGCTTCAAAAATGTAGGATTGTGGTTGATGATGAACTTGCAAGACTGTACTAACTTTGAGAGCATACAGTTTTAATGGAAACACTTAATGTTTTTAAAATGAATGGGCTTATAGAATGATACAATGTTATTAATATAATTTGGCTTTTGTTATGCAAATTAACACCAGCTATTAAAATATATTTTAGTAGAAATGCTTTAATTCATGTTTTCTTTCCTCTACACTGTGAATCTTTAAGCCTTGGTGGACTAGAGCAACATCGTGCTGCCCAAAGGACTAACCTATGCAAACTAGTTCACATTTTAGTGGATGTCACAGTAATTGTGTAATATGACATTATTTCCCCCCTGCATAATGTACAGCGGCATTGAAATAAACATTAAGCCTAGCATCATGTATGTATAGTATAGTCACTCACGAACCCTTCAAGGCTACTATAATCATTAGTACTATTATTTGTTTAAAAGCAAATCGCCGAGTTATCTATTAAATCTACTTGAACGATGTCAGAACAAGAATGGCAGCTGGACGTGTCGGCCGTGGCTTCAATGTGGTCACTGACGTGTTCTCCTGTGATAGAGCTGTGTTCGGATGCACTCTCTTCAGGGTATTATTATTCCGTGTCTTCTTTCTGTATTTGTAAAACATTATAACGCTCTAATTTTCCTATCTCTACACATTTGGTTTGCTTAAATAAATGCAGGATATAACAAAATGATTCTATGTCTTGGTTCTCACCTTGGTTTCTTGGAGTTGATGGTGTCCCGGGGATGAGGTTTATCATGAAAACTCACATTAAATCACATTGGAGACCTCTGCTGTCTTCGGTGTACTTCCATTAGTGAGTCATTCAAAATGTGTCTTCCTCCTCCAAATAAACTTAGTTTTAAATGATAATAATATTATGGTTTTCAAGCTCAGTATCTTTCTGATTGTATATCAGAGTACTATGATAATACAGCATTGTAGTTCACTTCTTTCAAGATTAAATTCCTCATATGTTCCCGATAGTAGAATTTTAATTTTCTTGTAGTAGTGAGATGAAAGAAACAGCTTGAAGCAAAGAATAGAAAATGCACAAACTGAGTACATGAAACGGAGAGATGTTCTGATTTCTCAGCTAAGAACAGCTCATTTATCATAGAACATAAGTGCTTTTATTCCCCTAATTTTTGCAGAGTTGGAAAAAGTAAGTTAGTCCCTATTTTTACCCTACTATAAATCTATTGAGACGAGGATCTTAGCCTTACTATATTATTCTGTAGAAGTTCCTCTTTGATGGTGCATAAACCTTCCCAATTGTAAACTGATGAACAGTATGGATGACACATTTATTTTTTTTTAATTTTTAAAGATTTTATTATTTTTTCATACAGAAAAGAGTGTGTGTGTGTGTGAGAGAGAGAGAGCACAAGTGGGGGGGGAGGGGTAGAGAGAAAGGGAGAAGTAGACTCCCCGCTGAGCAGGGAGCCTGATGCGGGACTCGATCCCAGGACCCTGGGATCATGGCCTGAGCCGAAGGCAGATGCTTAACCAACTGAGCCACCCAGGCACCCTGGATGATACATTTAGAACACTTGCTCACAGAATAAACATGTCTTCCTGATCTTGAATTTTTCTGCTTTTCATATTCTAGAAGTATAAAGTGAATATTTGTGTGATATTCATCATCAAATATACTGATGATATTTCAAATTACAAAACAGCTTATTTATTTATTTGAAGAATTTGCTATCTTTTTCTCCTGCCAAGAATTTTTTCCCTCCATGATAATAAATTTCCTCCTTGGACCCAAGCCACAGAGTAATGCATAACTTAGCAGGATTTTTTTTTTCCTGAACTAAAATAATTGGGATTTAGAATATATTATGCTTATAATTTTATTAACTTCAACATTGTGACGTCAGTTTTATAAGTCACTGAGACCCACATGACCACCAGAAGCCTACCAAAATAACTTTTTACAAAAATACTCAAACATAATAAATTAAAAAATAGATAGAAGGAAAGTTTTGGACTTTTTAAAAATGTAATCTGCTTCTCCTACACAGGGGACTGAATAAGAGTTTTGTGGTGGCAGAAAACTGGATATGGGCCAAGTGTGAACTTCAACTACTTTCTGCAGTTCTAAGCAAGATTCTCAGGGCTTTGTCTATTATATTTGTATTTGGGAGCAGCAGAGTTATACAAAACAGAATGAGAAAATTGAG